AAATTTAATTTTAATTATATATTTAATTTAATATATCCAAAACATTATCAATTCAAAATGTAATCAATATGAAATAATTATTAGTGAGATATTCCAATGAATTTTCATTCTTGTATCTCAGGAAATAGTAGTAATCCACCCTAATTCTGCTCATTCTTTCCTCAAGATAATAGAGCTGCTTTCTGTGTTTCTCAAAAGTAGACCAAACCACAGGTCAACTAGGAGGAGAATTCACAGCTATTCTCAGTGGGACACTAGTCTATTCTATAGCAGTCCAGTAGTGGGGAGAGGAAGGAGTGGAGGAATTAGGAAACCTGGAACTACTAATGTCAGCTGTTGTCCTAGGGTGTGGGCAGGCTGGAATTACTGCTTCCTCCAAGTTTGCCAGCTAGGGCTTCCAAAGTTTGGGAAGTGAAGCTATCAAAATGTAAAAAATGCCCAGCGCCCTGAAATGAAGTCAAGTTTAACTGCATATATCATTATTATCAACACCAAAATGGCTAACATGTTTGAGTGCTAATTTGTACATACATCAATGCATTATCTTCACAGCAACCTATAAAACAGATTGTACTAAAATTCCCATTGTATAGATGAGGCAAATAGCTTATCCTGGGTACACACCACAGCTAGTGGGTGGTGGGGCTGGGATTCAAAGCTAGGAAGTTTAACCACTGAGCCTATGAACTTAACCACAGTACTATGGAAGAGAACATACTCATTTCAGGGGTAACATATGAGAAGATGAATCCAAACTTTCATAACAGAATTGTGAAGATGTTACAAATAGCTTGACCACGTTGCCTCTTAATTGTCAGCTTTAAAAATGAAACAATGAAGACCTTTTTTTTCCCATGTCAGCACAAGTGGGCCGAGGTGGGGCCAAGTTTGCAGTTCTCTTTTCCTTCCCCACAGACCTATGATATAAAAAGCTGAGACCGAGATTTTAGGAGATTGACTAATGTAAATGTTGGTCTAAATTAAGAAATAACGAGGTTACCCCTCACATAAAATCTTCCATTGGTACACATAAAACATTTCTTAAGTGATTAAAAAAAAAAAAAGNACATATATTACTGACAAAGAGAATTCTTCCTCATTGATTTATATACATACATAT